TGAAAAACTTCAGAAGACAAAAGGTGGACTTATGTCATTTAACAGTTTCTTATCTACCAGTACAGAAAAAGAAATGTCTCTCGAATTTGCTCAATGTGCTTCAACAGAATCGAAAATGGTGGGCATTCTTTTTATAATGTCCGTTGATCCTTGTATCAAATCAACACCGTTTGCCTCCATCAAAGAGATGAGTTATTTTAACGAAGCTGACGAAATCCTCTTTTCAATGCACACCGTCTTTCGAGTGAATGCAATTAAACAAATCGATCATAACAATCAACTTTATCAAGTTGAATTGCAATTAACATCGGATGATGATCAACAACTACGCTTACTTACTGATCGGATGCGAGAAGAAACTAGTGGTAGTACTGGATGGCAAAGATTAGGTAAACTATTATTAAAAGTTGGTCAATTTAATAAAGCTCAAGAACTTTACAATGTATTACTCGAACAGACGTCTGATGAAGGTGAAAAAGCACTTTATTATAGTCAGCTCGGATGTGTCAAGGATGATCAGGGTGATTATGAAAAAGCTATCTGGTATCACGAAAAAGCACTTGAAATTGATCAGAAAACTCTTCCTTCGAATCATCCTACTTTGGCTACTTCGTACAGCAACATCGGGAGTGTGTATCATAAGATGGCAGAGTACGCGAGAGCACTTTCATGTCATGAAAAAGCACTCGAAATTCAGGAAAAAACTCTCCCTTCAAATCATCCTACTTTGGTTACTTCATACAGCAACATCGGTAATGTGTATAACAACCTGGGAGAGTATTCAAAAGCACTTTTATATTACGAAAAAGCACTCGAAATTTCACAAAAAGTCCTTCCTTCAAATCATCCTACTATGGCTACTCTATACAATAACATCGGTAGTGTGTATAACAACATGGGAGAGTACTCAAAAGCACTCTTATATTACGAAAAAGCACTCGAAATTGAGGAAAAAACTCTTCCTTCAAATCATCCTACTTTGGCTACTACATACAACAACATCGGTAGTGTGTATGACAATATGGAAGAGTACTCGGAAGCACTTTCATATTACGAAAAAGCACTCGAAATTTCACAAGAAACTCTTTCTTCGCGTCATCCTACTTTGGCTACTTCATACAATAACATCGGTTATGTATATAACAACATGGGAGAGTACTTGAAAGCACTCTCTTGTTACGAAAAAGCGTTAGAAATTCGAGAAAAAACTCTTCCTTCAAATC